GGACGTTTATCGCCAATCTTTGCAACATCCGATAGAAAAGGAAATTCCAAGAACAGACTTTTTACATTGTGTTTTTACTGATGGTATGGACAATGTCTCAAAATGCTTGCTGTCATGTTACTGCTAAAGTTGTGGATATGAAATGTGTCTGGATGCCATCAAATTGAGGAACACTTAATTGTAATCCAACTATGCATTGCAAAGCAAAGTTTCTTTGTGTAAATCAAAAGTTGGAATTGCCTTTGTCAAGAACTTTGACCTCATACTTACTATGTTCTATTTGTTGAATCATTGGTCCCATTTCAGTTGTAGCAATTATTTAAGTTGTATGGTTGCATTTTTGTGGGATATTGGGTTGGACTATTTTCCTGTGCATTCTTGAAATTGAAGGGGGACGTCGATTATGAAATATGGTAGATGGTCATTTATCCACTGCACGTTTAGTAATAGCTCCAGTGGCCAAGCAATGTGCACTGCAAAGCATTTATTTGGTGCAACTCAGCTTAGGATAAACTCCCAGCTAATAATATCTGTTGGGATCCTTGGAGTTCAATCAAACAATAAACATCAATCAATAAAAGATTTCAAGACAAAATCAAGGAATATAAAATGGAAAAACACAACCCAATCTCGGCCGAAATGGACAACAACTTCTCCTCTTCCTTATGGCTGATTTATAGGCTCAGGAACAGCTCCCATGTCATGCAAATCACCTTCCAAAGAGAGAGAGAGAGAGAGAAACCGGCAAAGAACGTCGCTAGAAACTGCCACCAACGCACCCTTAACCTTCTACCAAGCTTTGAGAAAGTTCACCTATACTTAGCCACTATTCTAGGCCTAAGTTATCTCAAGGGACTCTCAAGAAGAAGCTCACCAGAAGGTGCAAAAATGGAGAGAGTGGTCGACTAGAGAAGAGAGAAAAGACCTGTCCTGCCAAAACGTGGGGGAAGCCTTTTTGTGGTAACCATCTAGTCAAAGCTTCTCCCCCAAGACAAGGCAGCAAAAATATCTCACATAGATTAAATCCCGGCCATCGATCCCATCCAATGGTTCATAATAAAACTAGACAAGCACAATCCATGTGAATTACACAAATAGCACTTAAGTCTAATGGAGTTAAGAGAACCATATTCTCACAATATCATCATGCTATCATCCTCTAGAATTTGCTACTTAATACTATGTTCTGTGTGAGTTATAATCCCTGTTGATAAACCTGGAACATACAGTTAATTTCTTTTTTCCATTGTATTTTGTGTTCTCGCATCTGTATTTATCTGCAAGGGGTAATGGAGATATTTGTACGCATTACCTGTTTGATAATTTAAACTTTTTACTTAATTCTTCTTTATGATTTAGATATCACGTCGCGAATGATAACCGTGTCGTGGAAGCCATCAGGCTTTTCAATAACTCTACAATCTAAGCAGCACGTTCTGGAATTAATCAACATATAAATCTTACTCCCAAGATGGCAAATGAGATAAAGGTCCGACTCAAGCAACCCAACTTCTTCTAGAAGTTTTGATTCTCATTAACTTGTTTATCATGATGTATACTCTTCTAATTCCTTAATGATGTACAGCAACCAGAAACCCAAATAAAGAGAAGAATGGGGATTGGAAGCCATATTTCAGAGAGACGACTAATTGATGATCTTACAAGAATGGGCATGAATGACTCTATTGTAAGAGTAAATTATTTAGACTCTATAGTAAAAATTGTTAAATTGATTTCAACTTCTTTTGCCATGAGTGTATAAACTGTTGGGTTGTGTGCCCTATAGTATAGTTTTGCTAATATAAAAATAACAATAATAATTTTTATATTGTATAAAATTATGTTTACTTTATTTATTGTATTATTTATTGAGCATGCGAAATTAAAGTGCCTGTGATCACTTGTGATAATATAAGTTGGGTACTTACGTTGAGAAGTACAGTATGACATAACTTATATTTTGGTCATAAATAATTTGTTCACAACCAATGTCACATTGTATTGGAAGGTTGTAATATTGATCGATTCACTATTTAGGTTTGTGATTTGTCTTTATCATAGAAATAGTTGAAAGTGACATTAGTGCACTTGGAGTGTATGAGACGGATCACGTGTCGAATTTAATTCTATAGCATGATCGTGTGGAAAATTAAATTTCACTTGACCTCTGTGTATTTCATCTAAATCCTTTGACAGGATTATGTATATCGTTTCACAATTTTAATTGTTTTTTGATTCATCAATGAGTGAGATCAATTTGAAACTTGGGATTGAGCGGAGTAGAGAACATGAATTCATGTCGGGAACCGTCACCCTGAAAATGGGTAGACTGACTACTTGAGTATTTTCTGTTGAACGGTTAAAATTTGAGTTCAGTGTTTAGCGACGGCTAAACTTTGATGTCTGTGATTTGTTCACAGGAACGTTGAAGAAAATGAAATCTAAGTTAGTGAGAATAATTAGAGGGACAAAACGGTCATTTATGCTCGTACTTAATTATCGGATCTCGGATGGGGATAAAATATATATACAAAATGTTAGAGAAATTACAGATTTATTGGCTTCTGTTATTTTATATATTTCAAGAGTTCAGTCTTTTGCCTTTAGTGGAAAAAACAAAGACTAATAATTAGATTGGGTGGTCTAGGGTCGACTAAACAGGATCTAATTATTGGAGCTTGGAAAATATATGTTCGATCAGGTCCCTTTGGTAGTTCCATAAAGTATTGGAACTTAATTACGGTAATTATAATGATTTTGGGTTTAATTGTAATTACAATAAAGTTTTGTACTTGGTTGTAATTACTATGAAAGTTATAAACTTAATTGTATTTGTAATTAAAGTTTTAGGACTTACATGCAATTATATTTAAACTAATTAGAATTGGAGTTAAATTAGAACTACTTGAGTTTTAATTAGAGCTCTTATTTGAATGTGGAGTTATATTTGTACTAAAATTCTATCATCTTTTATTCTATAAATAGAGACTAGGTGGATAGAAAAATACTACAATATTCATAATTTCATAAGATTTAAATTTGTAGAGAGAAAAAGAGAAAGAAATATATTATTTTCTTGTAGTCCGATATTCAAGAATTAGTTTCTGAATTAATTGAAAGAAGATGCCCACACTCCGGTGTAGTCTTTGCATTGGAAAATACCATAGAAGGTTTGAAGGTTTGAAGCACCAAAATTCTTACAATTAAAGGAGACGGAAGTTCACGGATCAGAATTATTTCAAGATTGACATTAAACTTAGGTAAAATTTCGAATCCTTTAATTTTATTATAACATACTCGTGAATATCTAGACGATCTTATTTATTGACTTAAAGAAAATTTTAATTTCTGATTAATTTCGCTTCCACATTCCAACAACTGGTATCATAGCAATCTAGATCGTTCACGTGCTTGTTATTTTTGAATCTTGATTGCATGTTCTAGTCGAGTGATATCTAAAAAAATTTTATATATTGATTGAATAATTGGATTATTTTAAACTGCGAGCCAATTATTTGTGGCTAGTCTTTGATGTAATTTGTTATTTCGAGTCTGTAACAAGATAGGTGGATTACGACTCCATCATCTTGATTTAATTTTCTTTACAATTAGATTCAAAATTTGTGAGCTTAAGGGACATAGGAATTTATGTAATTCTTGTAATTTTTTTTTTTTTATCTTGTAAGTTGATTGAAAATTGAAGAAGAAAACTTGAAGACAAAGGACAAAGAATTCAAAGATTTTTATTTAAAAAAAAAAATTAACGCAGACAGACAGTTAAATCTGTCTGTCCGGCAGATAGTTTGTCAGACAATTTTTGTATATATATATATATATATATATATATATATATATATATATATTTTTTTTTCGAAATTAATTTTCAAAGGTATAGTGGCAAAGACCTTCATTGTTATTGGAGAGCTACTATTGGATCCTTGAAATTTTTGGGTTGAAGTTTTAGATTAAATATTGGGTTTAGATCCAATTAGTTTTTAATTTATTTCTTGAGTCTTTTAGGACTACAAATAATTGTTATTTTTATCGCTTTATGAATACTTTAAATTATTATTTGAAATATTGTCATTCTTGATATCATGATATATAGATTTATTTATGTCATCGCTCGTGTTACTATGAATATGATGCATAACATTAAACACGTATTTTTCTTTGATTAATTTAATTTAAATTAAATTTTTCTGAATAGAAAAATCGTAATAATTGAATTGTATATTAATTTAATTAATATAAACAGTTGGTAATTGTTTCAATTAAAATCCATTATTTGAAAAGATTGAGTAGGGATGAGTGTTTATTTAAATAAAAAACCATGGTCTCCTTTGGTCAATTTACAAGCAAAGTTTTTGTAATTTTTTTTTTTTTATCTTGTAAGTTGATTGAAAATTGAAGAAGAAAACTTGAAGACAAAGGACAAAGAATTCAAAGATTTTTATTTAAAAAAAAAAATTAACGCAGACAGACAGTTAAATCTGTCTGTCCGGCAGATAGTTTGTCAGACAATTTTTGTATATATATATATATATATATATATATATATATATATATATATATTTTTTTTTCGAAATTAATTTTCAAAGGTATAGTGGCAAAGACCTTCATTGTTATTGGAGAGCTACTATTGGATCCTTGAAATTTTTGGGTTGAAGTTTTAGATTAAATATTGGGTTTAGATCCAATTAGTTTTTAATTTATTTCTTGAGTCTTTTAGGACTACAAATAATTGTTATTTTTATCGCTTTATGAATACTTTAAATTATTATTTGAAATATTGTCATTCTTGATATCATGATATATAGATTTATTTATGTCATCGCTCGTGTTACTATGAATATGATGCATAACATTAAACACGTATTTTTCTTTGATTAATTTAATTTAAATTAAATTTTTCTGAATAGAAAAATCGTAATAATTGAATTGTATATTAATTTAATTAATATAAACAGTTGGTAATTGTTTCAATTAAAATCCATTATTTGAAAAGATTGAGTAGGGATGAGTGTTTATTTAAATAAAAAACCATGGTCTCCTTTGGTCAATTTACAAGCAAAGTAACGCTCTTGCCTCGTACCGGTAGTGCAACGGACTCCCTATAGGAGGGTCGTGTGGTTCAAGTTGTTTGATTGTATTTCTTTATGATAAAATCGTTTAAATAGAATATAATTTGTGATCATCATATAGATGACGAAATTATTTTCAATTGTTTAGAGATTGAGACAAATGTTGTTTACTCAAATCGAAATTATCTATGAACCTTTTATAGAGGTTCTCGTCTATAATTTTGGTGACCAAATAAAACGATAGTAGACTTAATATAGACATTTGTTGTCAAATATTTTTTATTTAGTGGGAGGGTCTTAGCTTGATTAGTGGACACATTGACATTTCCTATAGAGAGGCATGTTAGATCACATGGATCAAGTCATCGTTACATTATTGTAGTTAGATGGATCTACACATGCATTTATGCATCATATGCTAAATTGTCATTTCCCTGCTCAATTTTTAATATGAGATAAATTGTTATGTTTCAGCAAAATGTCTCTCAGTGCTTTTTCCGTTATTCTAAAACAAAATCAACTTGCCGGGGATAATTATATGGATTGGAAACATAATTTGATGTTTGTGCTTATTGTCGAAAAACTTGATTTTGTGTTCGAAGAAGAATGTCCTGAGGAACCTACTGAGACTACAGGCAAGTCCAAGAGGACTGTGTATGATAAGTGGATCGCTGCTGACAAGATGGCTCGCTGTTACATTTTGACATCCATGTCAAACGTGTTACAGCAAAAGCTTGAAAATCAGGAGACCTCTTATAACAAACTAGAAAGCCTGAAGGGCATGTTTGGACATCAAAGTAGGAGGGCTCGCTTTGAGGCCATTTGTACCTTACAAAACATCTGCATGAAACCCGGAATGCTTGTGAAGGATTATATGTTGACTATGATACACTTCAACGTGGCGAAGAATCTAGGTACAACTATTGATCAGGAAACTCAAGTTGATATGGTATTGAATTCTTTATCTGATATGTTTTCACAGTTTACTGTGGACTATCACTTGCACAAGATGAATATGTCACTAACTGAGTTGTAAAATGTGGAAAGTGGTCTCAAGGGTAAGGGTGGCCATGCTCATGTTGCAATTGCTAGCTCCTTTGGCTCCAAGCCGAAAGACGGAATTGGAAAGAAGAGGAAGAGATCTAATAAAAAGCCAGGAAGCAACAAAAAGTCCAAATCAGATGGAACACCGAAAGGCATGTGTTTCCACAGTGGTCACAAAGGACACTGGAAGAAAGACTACCTTGATGCACTAGCTAAAAAGCTGGGTGTTGGTGAGTTTTTTATTGCTGAGTTATGTTCGGTGGTTGATTCTACAAATTCCTGGGTTGTAGACTTTGGAGCCACTAATCATATATGCATTTCTATGCAGGTGCTTCAGGAGAGCAGAAGACTCGATGAGGGCCAGTTTAAAATTATTGTCGGCACAGGAGCTATAGTTTCAGCAAGAGCAGTAGGAGTAGTTTACTTTTATTTCAACAGTGTTAGGCGTTTAATTCTTAAAGACTGTTATTATGTTCTGCGGATGAAGCGAAATTTGATTTCTGTTTCTTGTTTAATAGGACAAGGTTATTCTGTAAACTCTGCACATGATGCGCTTTATATTTTAAAGAATAAAGCTCCTATTTGTGCTGGACATTTGGTCAATGGTCTTTATATTTTAAATTGTGCCACAAATGAAATAAATGTTACTTCTGTAAACCATGAACGTATGTCTAACCATACTAGTGATACTTATTTATGACATCTTAGACTTGGACATATTAACCTTAACAGGATACAAAGATTGGTTAGAGATGGTCCACTTAACACACTTAAGGTCGAATCATTGCTAGTTTGTGATTCTTGTTTGGAGGGTAAAATAACTAAGAGATCCTTTCTAGCAAAAGGACATAGAGCCAAAGAAGTATTAGAATACACCTGCGAGAGGGGGTTATGAGTATTTTATTACTTTTACCGATGATTACTCTAGATTCGGATACATCTACCTAATGACTCGAAAGTCAGATACTTTTGAAAAATTCAAAGAGTATCGGGCCGAGGTTGAGAAACATTTGGGTAAGAGTATTAAGATACTTCGATCAGATCGAGGTGGCGAATATCTCTCGGGAGAATTTAAGGACTACTTGACAGAAAATAGTATTGTTTCTCAACCGAGTGTGCCGGGTACACCCCAATAGAATGGCATTTCAGAAAGGAGAAACAGGACATTGTTAGACATGGTTAGATCAATGATGAGTTTCGCAACTCTACCTACCTCATTTTGGAGATATGCACTGGAAACAACAGCATATGTTCTTAACTCAGTTCATTCTAAGTCAGTTCCCAAGACTCCCCTGGAATTATGGAATGAGTGCAAGCCTAACTTACGTCATATTCGAATTTGGGGATGTCCGGCTCATGTGCTGAAAGGGAAGATAGAGAAGTTGGAGTCTAGATCAGAGATATGCCCGTTTGTGGGATACTCTAAAGGTACCAGGGGATATTATTTTTATAGTTCTCTCGATAGGAAAGCCTTTGTTAGCACAAATGCCACTTTCCTAGAGGATAAATATATTAATGAACGTTAGTCCAAAAGCAAGGCTGTGTTGGAAGAAATGAATGGAAGCAATTCCACCTCATCGATTCCTGAAACACAATCTCATGACAGACAACTTTTGGTGTCAGATATACCTAAACAATGTGTTTTGAGATGGAGAGATGAGTCATCCAATCCTATAGATCAAGTAAAAGTTGAAGGTATTGAGGAGGTAATGGAACCACCTACTGGTGATACCAACATTGATACAAACGTTACAATTCCAAACGATGCCACGGTCCAGGATCCGCCGTCCTTAGACAAAGTCAGAGGGTTATCAGACCACCTTCTAGGTACTTGTTAGTTGGAGAGTCCAATCAGGCATCTCCACAACACAAGTTGATGACCCGACTTCATATAAGAAGGCCATGAATGATGTGGATGCAGATTTATGGCATCAAGCTATGAATACTGAAATGGATTCTATGCATTCCAATTAGGTCTGGAAACTTGTAGATGCACCAAACCCCATCGGGTGAAAGTGGGTTTATAAGAGAAAGAGAGGAGCAGATGGGAAAGTGGAAACTTTTAAAGTAAGGCTAGTGGCTAAGGGTTTCACCCAACAAGAAGGCATCGATTACGAGGAGACATTTTCGCCTGTGGCTATGCTTAAGTCTATCCGAATTCTTTTATCCATTGCAGCTCATTTTGATTATGAGGTGTGGCAGATGGATGTCAAGACGGCATTTTTGAATGGCCATCTTGAGGAATGTATCTATATGATGCAACCAGACAGATTCACAGAACCTTGTAATGAAGACAAAGTTTGCAAGCTTCAGCATCCATTTTTATGGGTTGAAGCAAGCATCAAGATCTTGGAACAAGAGATTCGACGAAGTGATTAAGACATATGGTTTTGATCAGAACTTTGACGAACCCTGTGTCGATAAGAAGATACAGGAGAAAATTGTAATTTTCCTCGTGCTATATGTGGATGATATTCTACTCATTGGAAATGATATTGGAGCATTATCATCTCTGAAAGCATGGTTGGCCCAACAGTTTCACATGAAGGACTTAGGAGAAGCTAGCTATGTTTTAGGTATTCAGATCTTAAGAGATCGAAAGAACAAGCAGATAGCTCTATCCCAAGCTTCATACATTGATAAAATACTTGTCAGATTTGCCATGCAAGATTCCAGGAAAGGTAATTTACCTTTCAGACATGGAATCCAGCTCTCTAAGGATCAGGCCCCTTAGACTCCTGAAGAGGTAGAACGCATGAGTAGGATACCTTATGCATCGGCAGTTGGTAGTCTCATGTATGCTATGCTGTACACTAAACATAACATTTGTTATGCTGTTGATATGGTGAGTTGATATCAATCTAACCCTGGAACGGAACACTAGGTGGCAGTAAAGCATATCTTGAAGTACCTTCGAAGGACAAGGAATTAAATGCTAGTTTACTCATCACCAAATCTTGTTCCAATTGGTTATACAGATTTAGACTTCCAGGCTGATAAAGACTCTGGCAAGTCTACATAAGGATCACTGTTTACACTTGGTGGTGGGGCCATTATTTGGAGAAATATCAAACAATCATGTATTGCTGATTCCACGATGGAGGCTGAGTATGTGGCAGCTTGTGAAGCCGCTAAGGAAGTGGAGGGCTCAAAAAATTCCTAACGGATATCGAGGTGGTGCCTGCATTTGCACAGCCCCTGACACTGTACTGTGATAATAGTGGGGCAGTGGCAAATGCTAAAAAACCAAGGAATTATCAAAGGGGTAAACTTACTAAACGAAATTATCATCTCTTGAGAGAGATATTTAATGGAGGAGATGTGACTGTTAGTAAAATTGCTACTGGGGATAACCTCGCGGATGCATTTACAAAGAGCCTATCGGCTAAGGTTTTTAATGAATATGTGCAAGGCATGGGGTTACAGGACATGACATATATACTCTAGGGCAAGTGGGAGATTTGTTGGGTTGTGTGCCCATATAGTATAGTTTTGCTGATGTAAAAATAACATTAAAAATATTTATATTGAATAAAATTATGTTTACTTTTTTTGTTGTATTATTTATTGAGTATGCGAAATTAAAGTGTCTGTGATCACTTGTGATAATGTAAGTTGGGTACTTGTATTGAGAAGTACAGTGTGACACAACTTATAGTTTGATCATAAATAATTTGTTCACAACTAATATATAAAGATTGGCACCTTGTACTGGAAGGTTGTAGTGTTGACCGATTCACTATTTAGGTTTGTGATTTGTCCTTACACAGAAATAGTTAAAGGTGACACTAGTACACTTGGAGTGTATTGGACAGACCACGTGTCGAATTTAATTCTATAGCATGACCGTGCGGAGAATTAAATTTCACTTGACCGGTGTGTATTCATCTGAATCCTTTGAAGTATTATATATATATTTTTGCGATTTTAATTGTTCTTTGATTCATCAATGGGTGAGATTAATTTGACTGGTCAAATATCTCGATGAGTTGGGAACTTAAGAATGAGCGGAGTAGAAAGCATGAATTCGTGTCGGGAATCGTCACCCTGAAAATGGGTAGAGTAACTACTTGAGTATTTTTTGTTGAACGGTTAAAATTCGAGCTCAGTGTTTAGCGACGGCTAAACTTCGACATCTGTGATTTTTTTACAGGACCGTTGAAGAAAATGAAACTTAAGTTAGTGAGAATAATTAGAAGGGCAAAACAGTCATTTATGTTCGTACCTAATTATCGGATCTCGGACGGGGATAAAATACATATACAGAAGGTCAGAGGAAAGTATTACAGATTTATTGACTTTTGTGATTTTATATATTCCGAGAGTTCAGTTAGTAGAAAAAGCAAAGACTAATAATTAGATTGAGTGGGATAGGGTCAACTAGACATGATCTAATTATTGGAGCTTGAAAAATATATGTCCGATCAGGTCCCTATGGTAGTTCCATAAAGTATTGGAACTTAATTACAGTAATTATAATAGTTTTGTGTTTAATTGTAATTACAATAAAGTTTTGTACTTGGTTGTAATTACTATGAAAGTTATAAACTTAATTGTAATTGTAATTGAAGTTCTAGGACTACACATGCAATTATATGTAACTAATTAGAATTGGACTTAAATTAGAACTCCTACTTAGGTTTTAATTAGAACTCTTGTTTGAATGTGGAGTTATATTTGTATTAGAATTCTATCATCTTTTTCTCTATAAATAGAGACTAGATTGATAGAAAAATACTACAATATTCATAATTCCATAATATTCAAATTTGTAGAGAGAAAAAGACAAAGAAATATATTATTTTCTTGTAGTCCGAAATTCATGAATTAGTTTCTGGATTAATTGAAAGAAGGTGCTCACACACCGGTGTAGTCTTTGTATTAGAGAATACCATAGAATATTGAAGCATCAAGATTCTTGCAATTAAAGGAGAGGAAGTTCACGGATCAAAGTTATTTCAAGATTGATCATTGAACTTAGATAAAATTTCGAATCCTTTAATTTTATTATAATATACACGTGAACATCTAGACGATCTTGCTTATTGAATTAAAAAAAAAATTAATTTCTGATTAATTTCGCTTCCGCATTCCAACATAAACAACGAGAAAATAGGAACTTTTATGGTATCTAATATTGCTGTGTAATTGGTGCAAATTTCAGGTAAGAAGAGCTCTATTGATTATGCACCAAAGAGATGAAGTGGAATACAAGCGAGAAAGGCGAGTTATTGTGCGTAAACAGTAACGTGAGCAGCTTTGTAATAATCATCTCCACTGGATCATAACCACCTTTGAGAGCCAATGAAATATCTCTAGCTCATGCACTTGTACGTGAAACTGATTTCTTGAGTACTCTTTGCAAGTAGTGTATACCATTTATTTATTACTTGCTGCAGAGATTAACTCGTGTGCCCCTTTGTACATCAAGAAGTGAAAATATGATTTTTCTTGTATAACTCGTACACTTGAAGTTGATGATAGTAACTTTTGGGCCCAACATTTTTCTTATTTTTATACATTATCTTTATAAGTGGACTCTTGATTATTTATTTAGGTAAAAGTTTGACATGCTAATGGTCAACAACTCTATCTTGACCATGCCAAAAGAACACCAACT